CCCATAGGCCGCCCGACGTTCGAGATGTTGGAGAATCGTATGCGGGGCCCCATAGGCCGATTAGGGATGATTCCCTGCCTACGCGTCGCTTCGCGTGGCCGATGCTCGGGCACACTGGCCATAACGGGCTTTTGCTTTCTCCGCTTGACCCATAACTTTAGAGCGCGGAAATCGGTAAGTGTTGCACGTGTGGTTTAGTATAAAGCCGCGCGGACGCAGGACCTACGCATACCGACCAACAATGCGGATTTGCGCATGCAGTCGTGACGTCGGCGCACCATGTGATGCCCATACACGAGTGGCCTCTTTTGAGTCATGGGGTCGCTCTCGATGCTCAGGCGTTGGCTGAAGCGCACGCTAAGGGGGTAAACCTTTAGCAAGCGCAAAACCGGCCTGAGGGCCTTACCATCCTCTGCACCCTGAGGTGCCCCAAAGGGTGCGGGGTAAGATTGGTCCCTAGGACAGGAAGGAATTCGGAGCGGTGGTGAGTTGTCTGGCGCATCACCAGCGACACGCTAATCCTTCCGCCCGGAACTTTATTGTTCCACCAAAACAATCTACAACAAGGAAAAAGAAAAAGCGAGTACTTGACGCTGGCAGGTGAAAACCTGATTACCCGTGTGTATGCCCACTCTGACTATCACTTTATCAGGATGGGAAAAGACAATCTCACTCAAACAAAAGGTTGTGGGGTAGTTCACTCTCACGACAGTCGTGTGGTTTGCTCATTTGAACTCAAGACATAATCATTCACCACATATTTAATCGAGTTCCTCTCATACATACCTGCATTCATCCGACATTCAAACAACGTCACACACACTAAAGAGGTCAACTTTTCAGCCTTTTGCGGCCCACACCCTGCCTTATGCCCTCAAGTGCAACCATTTCCCCACCCACCCTCAACAAAAGTTCTCAATCTTTACGGAATGACCATTTATAAAGGAACTGGGTGAAAACCCAAAGAAACACATAAATCCTGGCAGGGGCCAAGGCCTTAGGTTGAGAGGCAGGAGAAATAGGAAAGTTGAGTCGTAAACCGACGAATCGACAACCGAACTGTTATCAGTGATAACAGAAGAGTGATCCTTTCGTAGAATCATGCCGAACAATTCGAGCCTTCAATCGAATGTGAAAACCTGCATCACAGTACAGGTCAAAGAGAGCCACTACTATGTTCACGCCAAGTGGAGAACATGCTCCAACTCATAGCCTAACTCCTCTGCTAACCTCACTTTCAACCTCTCTTATTGATACCAAGTTACGGGGAATTTCGGCAGCATCTCCCCTACTCAGGGTGGATTGCCAAGTTTCTCATAGCCAGATATACTCTAACTCCCTAAATTCTATAAAATTTTGGCAGCGCTTCCCGTAGGAAAAGTGTCTTTTCATAATTCATATGGTCCCAAAATTGACTAACTCTTTCATATTTGTAGAAATTTCGGCAGCACTTCCCGTAGGAACAGGAGGATGCCAAGATTTATACAAAGCTGAAAATAGATAGACCAAACAAACCTTATACTTGGGACTAACTTCTGACACTTGCTTGGTAAGTAGAATCAGCGATAGTCTGCACGACCTCTAGATAAGATTGTGAGCTGACATTGATCCTAATTCCTAGCAGGGTCAGTCCTATCCTGCCCCAAGCTTCTCTCCCATCATCCATCTTATCTACCTATACCTCCAGCTCTCGACGAGCATCTAAAACAACTAACCTATTTAAAAGATGCCCCAATGTGAGAGCCCAAAGCATACACAACCAAACATCTCTCGCAATCCCACATCATTTTTCAGCCAAGTAGTTCGTTAGGTCACTCTGTTCTTTTTCACTTTTTATGTCCCCCTTTCTTATGGCATATGGTCAGACAAGGCCCTAACCTAAGGGTATGCCTGACCTGCCTTGGTAAACAAGTAAAGCACGCACAACTGGGCTGCCCTAACCTAAGGGTGTGCCCAACATAACGTAAACTATATACATAAAGCATATGACCAGACTGCCCTAACCTAAGGGTGTGTCTGGCTTCTGCTTAACTAACGACATGAAGCATAAGGGTAGACTGCCCCAACCTAGGGGTGTGCCTAGCCAGCTTTGAACAAAGTTACATATGGCATAGGGTTAAACTGCCCCAACCTAGGGGTGTGCTTAACCTGCCTAGACGACCACAAACGACAAATGGTTAGACCGCCCTAACCTAAGGGTACGTCCAACCCACAAAACATCAATGACAAGGGCATATCACTAGGCCGCCCCAACCTAGGGGTACGCCTAGTTAGCCTATACAATTTAAGTCACATAAGGCAATGCGACCAGACCGCCCTAACCTAAGGGTACGTCTGGTCTGCCTGAACAAGTACAACGACGTATGGCTAAGCCGCCCTAACCTAAGGGTACGCTTAGCCTCCGTAACAACAATTTAAGCAACCATGAATACTTGCACAAACTCTACGATTTCCTTTCTTCTTAGGCAGATAGTCAGACCTACCCAACCTAGGGAGACATC